CTCAATGAAGCCCTGAACCCTCTCAAACTGGGCTTTATCAACCAGCGGGCCGATGGTAGTACCCTCGGCGTCAGGATCGCCGACGCCCTTGAGCTTCTCCTCCATGGCTTTTTTATACCCAGCGAGGAACTCATCGTAGATCGGCGCCTCGACATAGATCCTACTCGCAGCGACGCACACCTGCCCCGTATTCGCCGTGATGGCATTTGCGCACCAGGTGATTGCATTCTCGAGGTTACAGTCCTTGAAGACGACTGCGGGCGACTTCCCGCCAAGCTCGAGCGTCACGCGCTTCATGTTGCTCTTGGCCGCCATCTCCTGGATCTTGCGGCCTGTGTTGGTCGAGCCTGTGAAGCTGATCTTGCGCACCTTCATGTGGCTAGCTAACAGCGCTCCTGTGCTCCCATCGCCAGAGACGACCTGAAATACGCCCGGCGGGAACCCGGCCTGTTCGATGAGGGTACCGAAAGCCAGAGCTGCCAGCGGCGTCTTCTCCGATGGCTTCAAGATGAAGCAGTTGCCCATTGCAAGCGCGGGACCAGCCTAAATGAGTCTTTAGTAGCACGAACTAGGTACGAAGAGATATTCCGATTGATTGCATACCTTCATGCCAATGATACCAACAGGGCCGTTCCAGGGAATGATTCCACAGCAAACGCCGATTGGCTCGTTGCGAACAATCTTCAAGAAGCCTACATCCACATCAGTAAATTTTCGACACTGGAAGACATGCCAAAAACTCACCATCTTCCTGAGGGTACGTCTCGCCGGGAAACTTATCCGTCCAGCCCGCAAAGTACCTCAGACTCTCACTAGCCATCTTAATTTCCAAGCTCCCAAAGGTTGCCCAAGGTGCGCCGAGAGTGAGTCGGTTAAGGTCCGCTAGAACCTGACCGTGCTGCTCGACCAAATCGGCGAGCTTGTTGAGCATGTCTCGCCTCACGGTCGGGAGCGTCTTTTTCCACTTGGGAAAAGCGGCTTCTGCTGCTGCCACGGCGGCGTCGACGTCCTCTTGTCCGCCGAGGGGGATGTCGTTGGCTACTGGAGATGCATCCTTTGGATTGAAGAGCTCCATCTTCTTGCTGTTCTTGGAGTCGACATACTAAAGTTCTGTCAGTTATATGGGTTCTATTCAGAGAAGAGATTGTTACTCGCTTGGTTATTGATGTACAACTGCTTGGGGAGGTTGGTCTTGCTCCATGGGAAATCCGACTTGATGCCATTCACAGCTTCCTTCAACGACGATCCAAATGTATCCATGATGAGTAGATGCTTTAAGTAACAATATTGTGTATATATTCCTATACAATGGATCAGATGGAATCTCAATCGACAACACAAAGCAGGAAGGGATTAAATGAGCAAATCCAATCCTCATGATCCTCTTAACGTCCACAACTTCGGTCATAACCCACTACGCAGGCCGTTAAAGGACCACGGAGATAAGTTCGGCGTCCTCCTTCATTCCGGTGTCACATAATCACGGCGCATGAATGTACCCTCGATGAGGGGATCGTTGTTCTCGCCTGGCCTGAGACGCATGCACGTCGAACTTGGCGTAGCTCACGCAGCTCCAACGCCAACGAAAAGCTCTTGGGGTTCCACGACATCACACGAGAAACGCCACCAAGCTGCGGGGATCCTTTGTTGGACCAGAGCTGACGATAATACTGGGCTTTTTGGACATGTTCAATGCTGAGTAAGTATTGTCATCCTGAGTCGAGTTGGATGTCTAAATTAAGCATAACTGATTCGGGAGACGGGCTGACTTCCCGCGGGATCAGCGTATTCCCCACTTCGGTTACTGTGATTTGATTGCAACCGTTATTGGCTGCTGGGGCATGGCGCACGATTCAAGAGTGGTTCAGTGTTCGAGATGGCTACCGTCTAAGAGGTTTTGATGAAGAAATTGATAGGTAAATAAGTCATCGACCGAAGAAAAGCTCTTCCAGTTGGCGATTGGTCCCAAAAAGCATTGTAAAGTGGTGAGTATTTCTGACACTTGCTTACTGGGTTATCAGTTCGTACCTCAGTGAAAGACGGAAAGACCTAGCATTCTCATTATCTGAAGAGCTAATTTGGAACTCCCTGCGGCAAAGCCCTAGTCAAATGATATATGCCGCTCTCCGTACTGCTCTGCGAACTTCTTACAGCGTTCCTGGTACACCTTATGCTTCTTGATAACTTCTTCCGCCGTCTTCATCTCCTCTCTCCCAACCTGATGCCGATGCGCCGCATCAGGTCCGTCCGCAATCCTCACAAAGCGCGCATACGTCCACATCTCAGGGAGCGGCGTGTGTTGTGTCAGACCCTGGCCTCCATACATCTGCATACACTCGTCAATAATCTTCGTAGCCATCATGGGCACCAGGATCTTGCTCTGGGCAATCGCTCTCTTGCCAGCTTTGTTCCCCAAGAGATCCATCGTATCCGCGGCGTTCAGGACGACTAGACGGGCAGCATCTAGCTCGAGACGCATCTGAGCAACACGTTCAATATTAGAATCGAACTCGCCGATGAGTTTTCCTCTGGGTTTCTTGCGGGCGTCGTTGCAGCGGATCAGAGCTAGCTCGTAGGCCCTCTCGCATTGCCCGATTAATCGCATGCAGTGGTGAATCCGACCAGGCCCCAGGCGACCTTGGGCGATTTCGAAGGCGCGTCCTTCTCCGAGGATGATGTTTTCTGCCGGGACGCGGACGTTCTCGTAGAGGTACTCTCCGTGGCCCTCTGGCGCATGGTCGTAGCCCATAATCGTCAGATTGCGAACTTGGCTGATTCCTGGCGTGTTGCAGGGGACGATGATCATGGAGTGACGAGACCATTTTGGGTTATCCGGATTGGTGCAGCCCATGAGGATGTAGAACGACAAGTCCTTGTTCCAGAGGCAGTTTCCGTAGAGTTTCCTTCCATTGACTACGTAGGAGTCGCCGTCACGCTTGATGCTGATTCCGATCTGTGTGGCATCTGAACTCGCGACATCCGGCTCGGTCATTGAATAGGCAGAAGATGCGGTGCCGTCGAGAAGTGGCTGGAGCCATTTCTTCTTTTGTGCTTCGTTGCAGTACTTGGCCAAAAGCTCGATATTGCCCGTCTCTGGAGCGTGACAGTTCATCGTCTAAAACAAGTTAACATACCAATCTAATAAAAAGCCATGGTAATAGAGTCGTATTTCGTACCTGGGCTGCCCAATAACACCGGCCCATGATCTCCGCGCAGCAGGAATACTCCAAATTTGTAAGACCGGGACTCTCCTTGAAGTGGTTGGGTAGGAAAAGATTGAATAGACCGCGTTCTTTGGCGCTTTTGCGCAACTCGTGTATCAATGGTGGTGTCGTCCAGCGTCGGGCCTCGAGCTGGGCTTTGAAGACTTGCTCTCTCGGTATACACTCATTTTCGACCCAATCGTACACAGCATTGATCTTCTCAATAGCCAGAGGTGAGAGCTTCGCCTTCACCCATGGTGGCAGGTGAGCAAAAGCAGGACTCTCCATGACTGGGCGACTTGGTTATTCGTGGGCTCGGTGGTTGATATCTCTGCTTGGATCTTTGGAAAGTGTCCTCAAAATAATTATCAACTTATAGCGAGAGCCTTCAGAAAGTCAGAAGAAGTTTCTCAAATCTACCTGCACCGTGGCGTTACCGAGACCGTCCCCACCGAGCCGCACCGGCAAACAACCCCAAGTACCTACTTACCTTGAGGTACCTCAAGAACTCCCCTCCATGACAGACTCTTGTCTCACTCAGAGCTCAGTGCGGCTCTAGGCGCTAATGATTCAGTGCCCTCGATACGTTCTGTGAGCCTTCAACGGCCGGGGCACTCGGGGTGGGGCGTTGACCTCGGCCCCTCACGGTTCTGTAAGCTTGTGCGGGGTCCACGCGGGGTAGCTCCTCCGGGGGTCATCGGCTGTGCGTCAGGATGAGGAGGACAAGATTGGAACAAGAAACAATACACTTTCAAAGCCTTGTTGACGCGCTGAGACAGTGCCCCAGAAGCCAATGAGAGCTCGCAGGAGGTTTCTTGCCATCTGCCCAGCATTTAACTCGCCGTTTTTCAACCTCCAGATTATACTTTGCTTCCCTTGCATTATTGTTTTTAGAATGAGCTCATCTCCTACCCATCTTACGTAGTATACCTACTGGCTCATTGACTTTGGAGAATGCATTAGGGTTCGCTGCTAGAGGTGTAAAGAGTAGGAGTATCGTTACAACGCGCACCTAGCTGTAGGCTCTGCAGCTATATTTACAGTTCTTGTGGTCTTACCTACAGATCACAATCTTAGTCCGGACACCCCCGTCCAACCATGAATGCACTACGATTAGTAGGATCAAAAGCTGCGCTATCATTATGATTGATCTGAAGACTGTCCAACCCTGAACTGTCAGAAAGAGATGTCGTGTAAATCTCGGTCACTGTACCTTCGTGATTGCTTCAAGGCATGGGCGTACAGATGGTAGTCAGCGGAGCATACCTAGCGACTCTGCCTCTATTGGTTATCTCACCGGCCAGACTACTGTTTGTATGAAATTATAGGCTTGTTCTCAGATAGGACTCTTGTAGCCAAGCCAGATACCTTGAAATTGACTTTGGTGTTGATCTCCGCTCGGACTCTTGGATGGTGTTGACAGTATTAAGCTCAAAGTCAGTTGGTAGGGCATGCATTACTTTGACGGAACCGATTTCACGGAACCAGTTTCTTTCCTCTTACTCTCAAGCTCAAGATTATACTTCCCTAAGAGAGCCTTGTTCAGTTCAAACGACCTTGGCATGCGGATAAGCGGACAACAAAAAGTTGGACAGCCCAAATTTTTCTGAGCCATTCACGCTATTAAACTTGCTCCATTCCTAACCATCGGTCTGCTTCATCGCTATCAATACCCTGCATTGACACTGGATCCTTGGACACCTAGCAACAGGTACTGTTCAATTGAGTACTAATCAACGACGAATACGCGATTGAAACGAGCGCGACACTCGTCATCTGATTGCCGGTAAAGCCAGTATGCTGGAGACAATTGAGAAGCATGCCCTGGTGTTCGGTTTGTAGCTCTCTACCCTAGATTGGGTCGTTATTCTTAATGAGACGCGATAGGTTCAAGTGGAATTACTGGGTGGGCCATCACCAATGTGATTCTCCAGGGCTATCCTGGCAAGGATGCCTTCGATTCCGTGACGGCCCTCACCAATCGCCCGATCAGCCACGAAACAACTCAGTGGCCTACGTCTAAGAAGCTTCGCGTTATCAGCGGTGTGGATATATTGACGTCTGGAGGACAAGAAGCCCTCGAAATCGACCTCCAGAACAAAGTTGAGAATATCAAGAAAATCACACACGTCTACTTCTGCGGTATGTGACGTCTACTACAACTTCTATGCCAGCTCGTGTGCTGACATTACCAATCAGCTTATATCATGAACCTTGACCCGGCAAAGGAATGCCAGATCAACACTGAGCTTTTCAAAAAGGCCATTACTGCTATTGATAACCTGTCCCCAAGCCTGAAGTTCATCGTTCTGCCAACAGGCACCAAGGCTTATGGCATCCATCTCATCGACCACTTTCCATTCGCAAAGGAACTCCCTCTGCGTGAATCACTACCGCGAATCCCTAAACCATTTGGCTCGCAGCTATTCTACTACCACCAGATTGATGCATTATCACGGCTTGCAAAGGGGAAGACCTGGTCCTGGTGCGAAGTCAGAGCTGATACGATCGTGGGCTTCGTGCCAAACAACAACATCTGTTGCGCGGCACAGACGCTGGGCATTTACCTGTCCCTCTTCGCAGAAATCGAAGGGATAGGGGCCGAATGCCCTTTCCCTGGTAACGAGAAGTCGTGGAGAAATCTCAGCCACGAAAGCAACCAAGATATCCTCGCAAAGATTTGCTTGTACGCGTCCTTGCATCCCAACGTCACGCACGGACAGAAGTACAATGCCGGTGACAACTTTCAACCTTCTTCATGGAGCCACAGATGGCCCGTCATCTGTGGGTACTTTAATTTGAAGGGAACTCCACCTCTGCCAGATCACCAAGCCCCTCAACCCGAGCACTACCTGGTAAAACATGTTGAGAAGTGGAAAGAGATGGAGAAGGAGCATGGCCTTGTCGGTGGTCACATTGTCAACGAACGCACCTTCATTGAGCCAACCCACGGCGTAGGAATGATATACGGTCTGACGAACTTGCTTGATTTCGATAGGCAGCTTGACATGACCCAATGCCATGAGATGTGGAGTTCCAGCAAGGAGGAGCTTGATACGAAAGATTCATGGTATATTGTGTTCGATAGGTTTAGAAAGGCTAGAATCATTCCATAGCTGTCGATTATGTGTCACTCAGCAATGGCAGTGTCGGCTCACACCGTCTTCCTTGTACACTTATTGATGAACGGATCCGGTCGGAACTTAGCTCCGGTCTTTTTGTGGAGGCTTTCCCGGAGAAGTTCCCGAAACCAGGCCCACCTTTCCGGACAGGTACGTACCGTAACCGAAAACAGGATGACACATGCATCCCAGCCACGGTGGCCGTGCGTTACAGTGGCCACCTTACGATGGACGCAGCTGAAATGCAACTTCCGCAATTCAAACATTCCACGCATTCTTTCAATCCGACGCTGCTTGAGGTGAACCGTTTAGAGCACCTTGTTGCTTGCAGAATTTCTTCTTTGATTTTGGTTTTCTTGGGGAGTGTTCTTCTTGAAGTGAAGTTCCTTTCTTTTACAGTTCTTGCTCAACAACTCATACGATTTAAACCCGCCCCGCTTGTTCCCGTAAGGTCCCCCGTCGGCTGAGGGTCTCCACGATACGGAAGATAAGACCATCACCCCATCAAGGCTGGGCCTGAAGGCATACTCGTGGGAGGACGACGAGTATGCTGCTCTTCCCCGATGGCGATGTCAACGGCGACGACGCCAAACGCGACAAGCTCGCCGCCTTGCCCGAGGAACTTCTCATCGAGACGCTGAACCGTCTCTGCCACAGGGACCTCTGCAATGTGTCGCGTCTGAACAAGCGCTACCATAGGTTGGCCGACGCCGTCTTGTACAAGAGTGTTCACTTTCAGAGTCCGGAGCTTCATCTCACATTCAGCGAATCGCTAGGCCGGCGGCCGCGTCGTGGTTCGGCTATCAATGAGGTGAAATTGATTTATCCTAATGAGGAGCTTTCACGCCTGGCTCTCGACGCACCCGTCCACAACTCTCACTATGATCCCACGCGGTCCGACACTCTTTCGCGCACACTTTCCGTCATGTCAAATTTGGAGAAACTCGACATTGCTGTTCCTCATGTCCTCCTACACGGCATCGGCACCCTTTTCAATGGACCATTCGACTTGGCGTATCTCAAGGAGTGCACACTGTTCTACCAATGCACCGATGATGCCTATTGGGACCTACGAGAGAACATCCACATCTTTGCCCATCCCACGCTGGAGACCCTGATCATCAAAAGAGCCAAACTCGACGAGAAAGGATTCGACTTCATGGAGCGCCCCCACGAGACGGGCCTGAAGAAGTTGCACCTGATCGAATGCGACATTAACGATGACGGACTTTCAGACCTCCTCGAATTCCCAGAGGGCTTGGAAGAGTTTGTCATGACGCAGACGGCAGAGCCGAAGCCCGAGCTGGAGGAGAGCTCCGACAACTTTTCCGACTACGTTCTCGCTCTCAACTCTCAAGCACACTCTCTCAAGACGTTCACCATTGACTCACCAACGCTCGGCTGCCGCAAACCGTTGAGGATGAGAGAATTCGAGGCGCTCAAGAGTATGAGAATGAACTGGGACTACCAGCTCTTTGGCAAGACGTCCAAGAAGCCGCGTATGCACTCGGTCGGTCTCCCGCCAGAGATGGAGGTGCTAGAGTTCTTCAACGAGATGGGCTCCGATGAGGAGGTGATGGATCTCCTTCTCTACACGATTCAGACCAAGGATGTTGTCGCCAAGGCGTGGAAGACTTTTGTGGTGCCCGAGGGGGATAGTGGAGTTTCGCGCGAGATCAAGGAAGCGTGCAGAGAGCACGGCTTGCAGCTGGATATCATTGGAGCATTCGACACGGACGGCGACGCTGAGTAGAAGAGAAAAGACGTCAAAATAAAGGTTGAAAAGAAGAGGCTAGAAGACGTAGAGTGCGAAAAGTCAAAGTAAAGACTGAGGAACAGCAAACTACACGTAGAAAAGTATAAACGAAGAGTAGACGAAGATTAGATGACAATAGACGAAGACCAAGACCACATTCATTGTATTCCGCGCTCCGATTCAGGCAGACTCTTTTCAAGCTGAATAGTGATCCGCTGGGGTTTCGCGTCAGTCCTTCAATGCCATCCGCGCCAGGTGAGCTGGGCCAGATATGGTCACGGTGAACGCTGGCCCCACTAGTTGCGGTCAGAGTTCGGGCCCGACCCGCCGCCGTCCCCAGATTTTCGGAACCTAGTACCGACCAGGCTTCATTCCAGACTCGATATCGGCTTGACGGTGCCAGCCTGGTAGACAACGACAGAGCTTTCTTCATCTACTGCCTATCTAGATGGGCAATAGATAGCCACACTCCATGACCCAATGAACATAATGCTTCAAACCGGAGTGTCCTCCGGAATACCTTGCCTACGTCAGAGAGCGTCAAAATGAAAATCACCCGAAGGCAGAAATTCCACTGGCATGCCGAATGCGGGGGTAACAGGGAGAAGGGGATACCGGACAAGCGACGTCCGGAAAGGAGCAGACCAGTCAGAAGCCGGACGGCTATGCATGATGGTCTGTAGGCTTCTACTCCAGAGAAAACTGACGTAGCTGCGTGGGAGCGGTCCAAATGGTTTGAGTGCAACGTCTTGTCAAGTTGACTGTTGAGCTTACCTTACATGTGATGCGGCACACAGTCTTGGACGCTCGACTTGCGGCTGGGCAACATTGTGCTCTGTAGTATGTAGCTGAGCGGGCCTTGCTGCAAAGTGCTTCGATGATTTTTGCTGCTAGGGGGCCCTTTTTGGGAGCTTATTCGGGGTCTCCTTGTCCGGACAGTCTATGCAAACTGAAGTATCAGAACGGCCTTATTCAGATATCAAGCAGAGCGTGAGTGAAGATGACAACTTCTCACGGAAATCAAAAGCATCGCAAAATCCAGGCCCCTGGATTACTTGTTTGATCAGTAGCCGTGATTTTCCACCGCCGTGTCAACATGAACTATCTAAGCCAGCCGGCTTTTACTTTCAGGCTTGGCAGTTGCCGTCGCCGCCGTCGCCGCCTTCTGCTGCCGGATCGCCGTGCTACTAATCTTGGACGCGAAATTCTCCGTTTCGCTCGCCCCCTCACCCTGCTCACTGGCATCCAAAACCTCCACTTCAAACGTCTCCAGCGGCTTCCACCCTTGCGCCGTCCGCTTATCGTTGACGGCCTTCCCTCCCGACCGCGTCTCCCCAGAGTACACGAGCACATCCATCTCCTCCTGTGTCACCGTGGGGCCGAAGCCGTCCTGGATCTCGACACACTCCACGACGATGGCGCCGTCGCGAAAGATGGCCTCGACGCGGCCCGGTTTTCTTGTAACGGCCCCGGCCGGGCTCGTCTTCTTCTTCCACCCGCTCTTGTTCAGCTCGAGAAGGGATGATATGAAGTCGAGGGTGTAATCGGCTCTGTCATCCCAGGACTGTACAAGCTCTGCATGCTTCTTGTTTACCAAGAGCTGGTCTCCGGTGATGCCGACGATCAAACGACAATTTGAGGTTGAATCTTTGACCGGTACCCGGAGTAGAAGTGCTGCAGCCGTCAGGAGCAACTTGTGGCCCGGGTGTAGGTGGTCGAATGTGCCCCCTAGACACACAATGTTGTACCCTGGGGTGTCTTCCGTTGGATCTTCGCTCGATCCCTCAACATTCATACTCAGACCTGCCTCGACAACTACCAGCTGGGACTGCAGAATCGTTTGCCTACTCTCAGCAAACTTGAGATATGTCGACAGTGTGCGGTAGCCTTGTTCGCTGTTGATATGGAAGATGTAGTTCCAGGGGTGATATGCCAAGGCAAAGGTTGGTAGATCCACGACCGTCGTGTTATTGGGCTCGATGGCGGCCACAAAATCAGGCAAAAACCTCCGGTTGGCATCGTGGTCCACCAAGACAACGCGCGCATCAACGGCACCAGGCCCGCCGTTGACATCGCTGGCAATGGCCTGCTCGGCGCATATCAAGGCGATGAGACTGTAAAGGCCGGCAATGAGGGACTGGGCGGCTGGCCATGATAGCGATTTAGTTTTTGGTGATGCCCCGCGGAGAAGAGGGCCAACAACGGCCACGATTAGAACAGAAGACCGAGCTGGGTTCTTGATCTTGGAGAGGACTGCCTGCAGCGACGGTCGGTATGCGGCGCTGAGCGAGGCCCGTGATGGTGGCCGGGTGGGGAGCGGGAGAAGCAGTAGGCTCGGATATCCTTGAGAGCCCATCCTGGGGTTATGTTTGCACGTGACAGATTGTCAAGAGAGTTTGAACAATGAATACAAATAGACTGACTGATGTTGACAGAACTAGCAAGTAACGGCGATGTGTGCCTCGATTACAACCGTTTCAGTTGAGTTGAATCCGGTGCTGTGAGCTGTTGTTTCCCTCGGCCAGGTGGGGTGATTCGGCAGGGGAGCTCTGAAGTGCTGCCCGGCCGAGGTGAGGGGGACGAGTCAGAGTGTGGGGCTGGCGCTAACGATGCTGATTCATCCTTGCCGCAGCGGAGATAACGCGGGGCTGCGTCACTGTCATGTGATTGGACAAATCCTATCCCCACCCTTCAGGTACGTACTCTGCCATGTCCTGGCTCTCATCCTCCTCTCAACCAACCTCTTTTCATCATGTCCAACTTACAACGACATGTTTGTCAATTTTCCTTTACGTTTCTCGTTACCGGAATCCAGATATTCCAGCATTTTCATCTAGTGATGACGATGTGCTCTGTCGTACTCTGTCTGCACTAACGTAATGGCGTCCATCCAGGACCGTCAACATGCCGTCAGCGCCTGGAGGGAAGAGCCAGCCCAGTCTACTGTCCTCTTCGTCCGCCGCGGAAAACTGTCGGCAAATCCGCGTCGTCTAATTCGACATCGGATCTTGACATTCAATGTCACTGCGCCGTTCATCTGCGGCTTCTGGTGGACCTCACAACCTTCCCCGCATCCGAAGTGCAACCATCTTGTCAATGGGGCGTCCAGACCTTTTCCATTCTCCCCTCGGACAACATCCTGCCGACATGGATTCTTGTTGTTGTCGTCCCATACACAGTATGTATGCCCCCTCTCTTCGCGGTCTTCTTATGGCCGACCCAGTCGCTCCAGCCTCTTGTGGTCCACTATCCCCAGACCATTGACTGTGGGTTCGTTGGATAGCCAGCATCATCAAGCTCCCTCCGTCTGGGGTAGTGGAGTACCCTGGTTCCGTTGGGCTGCTTTAGTCCAACTATTCCTCCTAGTCTATCGGGTAAGAGTGAGATTCACCGACGCGACAAGCGTCGCATTCCCTTCATGGCAGGGAACTGAAGTGGACTATCCCGGGCTCAAGTCCCGAGCTCGGAGCTTTCACGTACTCCCCCAACGCAGCCAAGCTCTGGGTTCGGATCCGCAATGGCTCGCTGCGAGTGTGAGATTGGGGAAACAAGCTGTCTCGAACCATCTCCTCGCCATGCACCTCCACCTGCACCTGCACTCATCCATCCCACCGCATTTGAGCTTGCCCGGGATCCACTGCCCTTCCGCTGTCTCTACCAAGCCCGGCATTCCTCTCCTGGCCAACAAACCTGAACAAAACCTGAAAGAGGGGTGGCCTGCGTGACACTTCAAGGGCCCCGTTGTTTGTCGTCACGGTGGGGTCCAGCATTCAGTCTCGACACTCTTGGGCTTCCTCGTCCTCCATCTTCGGCATTTTCGCCGTTGGACAGCCATTCTCCTCAGAATTTGCACTTGTTTCCCGGTATTCTTCCTCGAGCTCGTCCGGATCGCCCCTCGTGTAATTTCATCATTGTGATACCTTACACGCTCCCTTGTATGATTCCATTGTTACCCGGAAAGCTGTGGCTCTTTAGAACACGTAAGGTACAAGACTATGACCATCATCAAGGATGAAGCCGGGCAAGGCTCAAACGATGATGCCGGAATCATTGCACAAGAAAACACTGCTCCCCGAATACCTTCACTTCGCCAAGCCAAGAACCAACAGGTAAGGCACAGAGCGTCTGTCGCATGTGCGTCTTGCCGAGACAGAAGAATCCGTTGTGTGGTGCCAAAGGGCGAGTCGGAGTGCGTCCAGTGCAAAAAGGCCGGTAATGAGTGCGTGATCAAGAACGATGATGAGAGACGGCGGTATGTATATACGGGCCCTGGGCATGCCAACTTGGCTTCTGTTTTGTCTGAAATGCTGACAAAATTGCCAGACCAATATCAAAGGCGTACATGTCGTCTCTGTCTGATCGCATCGCGATGCTCGAGGGCATGCTTCAGGAAAAGGGCGTTCAACCTCCTCCAGCCGTGCATCCCCCCAAAACGAGACACGAGACCCACCAGATGTCAGAAGAGCCAAGAGAACAAAGACGGTTTCCAGCCAAAGGACCAATTGTGCCTGAGGTCCCCTCGCCTCCAGACTCTGGAAACGATGACTACTCGGTGCAAGGCAGCGACCACGCTGAGAACGCGTCCAACAAGAGCCCCTGCTTCCATGTTTCCGCAGAGGAACAATCTGCGTTCCGTATGCTGGACCCAGCCCACGAGAACGTTGTTCACAGACTTCTTTCGACGAGAGGGAATCTTTCATTTGACCAATTGTCTGGACGGCTCCGCTTTTTCGGCCCGACAGCCAACTCTCACGTTTACTACGCCGATACCAGTGATAGCTTCCGGTCTCGCGAGCCATCAGAACAGATTCGCCGTGCCGAGCGCATAATTCGGACACTTACAGCAACGACTCACGACTATCTCATGAGCAACTTTTGGACGCACTATAACAGTGTTCTCAAAATCATCCACAGAGATTCTTTCGAATCTGATCGAGAGTCCCAAAGCCCAAAGTTCTACTCGTCGTTCCTGCATATCGCAATCTTGGCCATGGGATTTCGATTCGCTGATTGCAGCCGTGACGATATGAAGAGGATTGCCTTGGGAAACCGGGAGAGCACCTTGCACAGAGAGGCCAAGTACATGCTCGATGTCGAACTCGAGAGGCCTGGTGGGATACCCAGCGTGCAGGCTCTCCTTCTTCTCGGCGACCTGGAATGTGGCGTTGGCAGAGATAACACTGGCTGGATGTATGCTGGTAAGTTGATCGCGTGACACTTTGAATAACATTCATTAACTCTTCTTTACCAGGGATGGCAAACCGGTTAGCTTTCGACATTGGTCTTCATCTAGACTGCCGCAACAGTGGCTTTGACGATCGAGAGGTCGACATTCGCCATATGGTCATGAGAGCCTGCGTTATATACGACAAGTATTGGTCCTTATTCCTGGGTCGACCGACGAGCATCAAAAGCCAAGACGTCGGCATGGACTTGCTATCACGGCGCTTTTCACAGCTCACATCGCTCATGGGAACACCCGGGCCCACGAACCAGGAGAATCAGACAGTGGAGATTTACGATCAGCTTGTCGAGTTGATGGAACTAGCTGGTCGTATTGTTGAAGCCAGAGACAGTCGGCAAGCACCAAAAAGTGCCCACGAGAGAGAAAGAGCAGATGGCGAAGAAGACGCATATCTTCAAAGCGCCAATCTTGATCGCCAATTGCAGAATTGGTACAGGCGATTGCCGGAACATTTACAGTGGAAGCCTGCCAACATTAAGCATGCACCATTCAGCTACTTCCTGCTGCACCAGCAATATCACGTCTCAATGATATTGCTTCACCGCTCGTGGGCGAAGTACGACGAAGTTGCTGGCGATACCAGTAGCACTGATGCGAACCTTACACCCAACTCAAGTGCCGACTCCAAAGACATGCCCGACCAGCATCATTTTGACTCCCTAGGGACGAACATTTCCCATTCAACTCCAGACACAGGCCGAGTTGCGTCATCGCGCAGCATCTGTAGTTTCCACGCGATTCGGGTAGCGAGAGTCTTTTGGCAACACCGACAACGGTTCGACGGCACCAAGATCTTCATCACTGGCATTCAGCACGCCGGTACTGCAGCCATTGCCCTGATAGCAGCATTGGCGTATCATCGCTGCGAATCGGATAGGCGGACGTACCTCGGATACCTAGAGATTCTTGCCAGTGCCATCAGCGACATGAGCCAAGCCTACCAGCCAGCCGCACGCATGGACAACCTACTGAAGGCGGTTCTTGGGAAACTTCGGACTGACACCGACAGTCTCGACGGCGTTAGTCAGCCGCCTGTGATATTGACGGGCAGTGAAAAGAGTCTCCTTTCAAGCCCGGGCTGGAGAGGTACCACAGACAACATTTACTCCGTTCTACCAGCTAGACGCGAGGCGGAAGTCAGAGAGACTCCGCCGACCAAAAGACGCCGACCGTCGACGAGTAGCCGAAGGGCGTCCGAGTTCGCTCGCCCGCCCTTACCCTTCTTCGGCGGCAAGACGCAGCCATCGACGCGCAGGTCATCGCAGAGCAACGTGTACGCGAACACCGGTTCTCCCTTGGAGCCTGCGGCATTCCACTCGGGCGGAAACGACCATCAGCTATTCAATCTAGACTTTCTGAATGGTTCAGCGATAGACAATGATAGAGACGATGACGCTTCGGATGCCAAGAGCAAACCTGTGGAGGATTGCATCTTTGTTTCGCCACTGTCCAACAGCTGGGTACAGGATAATACGATTAACGGTAACGCGTCGCCGTCACAAAAGGCGAATCTGCGGTATGGCGATTTGGACTTGCACGATTGGGAGTCCGGGGCATCTGGGATTGGACTCGAGTCACTATCAAGCTTCCAGCTCAGTGGAGGAGGGGAAAGTAGCCGAGAAAACCAGCAAAAGGTCCCCAAAGAGGAACATAATCAGAGCACTTTCAAGAACGACACAAAGGATACGATAACAAATCAAGGAGGTTTCGGGCCCTTTGGCCATGAAGCCATGGACTGGATGGGTACCGGTGGCGGCCTGGACACTATGACCTCCGTCAGTCTGATTGAGTTGGTGCAGAGCTCCATCGCGGGCAAGGGGGAGAGGCGCTCTGCGGACGAAGTGCCCAGAAATCACGAACTGGACTTTCTGAGCTTCTGAATTGATTTTTACGCATGGGAGTAAAGAATCGGGGTTTTTTTTTTACCTTTTTTCCAACGCCCATTCCCATTTCATTTTTCGTCACTTCATCTTCGGCGTTGATGGTCCACTGGAGTTTATGGATTTTATTGCATTTCTTCACTTGTATTGTCAATCGTACTTCCTTCTGGGGTCACCTTTCATAGCGTTGTAATCAGGGGAGTGACAGCCTTGAGCATAATCCAATAGATCGCCTCTTATGTAAACGACTTTGTATCTCGATACCATCAACGCAAGTGACAAAAACCTCGCAGGCTCTCCCAGGGCGTCAAGATCACAACCATAGAAAACACCACCCTCATCGCACAACTTCCAACTCACCAAACAGACTAATGAGCCGTAAACCCTCCATCAGCAACCAACCCAGATCCCTGCATAAAACTACTCATATCAGAAGCAAGGAACGTGATACCTGCATCAGCATCCCGTCAGTAAACCAACCAAAGATAAGCGCACGAATCAAGTATTGCCAGAAACAACAAGTAATAAGTAGACTCACAATCAGCAATCTCCTCAGGCTGCCCCAACCGCTGCAGCGGCGTCATCTCAATATACCGACTCAACGGGCTCCCCACCTCGCGCGAAAACGGCGTCACGATGGGCGTCTCGATCCAGCCGGGGCAGATGGCGTTGATGCGGATGCCGCGCCGGCCGTAGTTGTTTGCGTCGCTTTTTGTTATGCCCATGACTCCTATTGTTGTTTTTGTTTAGTATGAAATATACGGTGTGTTGTATACCATGCTTCCCATGTTTTTTTCTGGAAGAAGAAGGAGGAGGAGTAGGAGGGGGAGGAGGAGGAGGGGAGGGAAGGGAGGAGGTTAACGACGTACCGTGCTTCGCAGTCGAATATGCCGTCTGCGCCATGAAAAGCGAAGGCGAGACGAGCCCAAAGATGGAAGCCACGTTAATAATAGCCCCACGACCGCGTCTCATTCCGAGGTCCCTAATCACCAAATCACGTCAACACTGAGCAAACCTCTCAAGCCAAGGAAAGCCCCAAGAAACTATGCAGAAAGAAGACATACTCCTGCCCCAACATAACCCGAATCTCCTCCTTCTGACACCTCCAAACCCCATGCAGATCAACATCCACAACCCTCCCAAACTCCTCCTCGCCAACCTCATGCGTCAGCGCCCCCTCCCCCGCGATCCCCGCGTTATTCACAGCTACATCGAGACGTCCGAAGCGCGATACCGTCTCCGCGATGCCGGCTTTTACTTCTGAGGCGGAGCGGACGTTCAATGGGAGGGTGAGGACCTCGGTGGAGGGGAAGTCTTCGCCGAGGAGCGACTTTGTGGTCTCGAGGGCTTGGGCGTTGATGTCGGTTAGGGCGAGGCGGGTGATGCCGTTTCGGGCGAAGGCGAGGGCTGTTTTTTGGCCGATGCCTGGTGTTTTTGGTATGTTAATCAGGGAAGGATTTGTTTGTTACGGAAAGGGCGTGGAGGGGATGTGTGTAAGTCGGTAAGGATCAAGGAGTCGTCAAACGCACCAGAAGCTGCGCCGGTGATGAAAGCCGCACCGCGAAGAAGAGACGTCATGATGGGATCCTGCTCGTTTCACTTTTCTCCAACAAAAATCTGGTAACGGCGTCAAAGGACTCTATGAGGGTTTATAAATACCAAGTTCCGGGTGTCGACACTGTGTGCGCGGATTACTGAGCAGTCGGGGACGCAGCAGGAAAGATGAGAAATACTAACATGAACAAGATTTACACACTTATAAAGGTACATGTTAAAATACAAAAAGATTGAAAGATAAGATGAACCGGTGAGATATGATTGCTTCACATTGCATACATCAATGAAACACTGCAGCCAACTTTCCTCGGCGGTGACATCGTGTCAAAAGTGAGGCGCGAAGATCGCGGAGAAGCATACCCAGCGTAGCTTCCCGCGCGGGTCTACCCACCACACACAAACGGGATGGACCGTTCTCCTGCGGGCCGCAGGATAAAGCAATACTCGTATATTGGCAAAGGCTCGAACTTCGTCTGTCGGACGCCGCTGTCGAACCAACCACCTCCTATATGCATCACGTTCAAGTCCCTCTCTCAAATTGAGGAGGTGCCACAGGGAAATCAAGACAGTGAGGGGTTGAGTGGGACGAAATCTCCTTTGGTCAAGGACAATGTAACGGTACCCATCTGACGGCCGCTCACATTTTCAGATACGTCCCATGTTTTGATAAGGATGACATGCTTTGTGATATCCTCAAACGCTAATGCCGAAACCATGGGTTTGACTGGAAGTACCTTCGTGATACGCCACAGGTAAACCTCCTCTCCTCTCAACACGAGCTGCCTGAAAGAGGGAATTCAACCAGTCCTCCTTACGCACCCGCAATCCCGCGTAATACCTGAGAGAAAAAATGCTTGTGTCATGAAAACTACCCCTCTTAGTACCCATACACCAGTTTTTCAAAGTCAACACTCGTCGACTTTGTTTAAACATTAATGAAAAAATGTTCGGCCTCGAGTTCAGTAGCTGGCATGTTCAATAGGCAGCAACTCTATGTGTAAGGGTTGAAACCTGCCAGAGAAAAGATGTAGGAACCCATCCCCTTCAACTCTGTGAATTCAACGCAATCAAAGATGCCAAGTGCCAGGCCCCGTAGTGCACAGAGAATTATACTGCCCTCCAACCCAGAGAACAACAAGGTGGAGTATCGCAAGAACAACGCTTCCTCGTAAGCCCCAAGTCCAAGGCAGTCCATTGGATAGACGTCTCCCGGTCTCTCGCTCATACGGTGTTATCGGCCGCGTGCCGGCGCTGGCAAGACCAAGATCAAGAGCAGCTAAAATCACCAATGGCGCACCGACATTTGGGCTGACTACGTACGGCCAGCAAGGACGCGTCAGGCTGAGCATTTTGCTCAGAAAGAGGCCGAGACGCACAACCGCCAGTAGAGGTCCGGCGTTGTAGCGCATAAGCTGCCCTGTCCGCAACCGGCTAATCATGAGTCTGTGCCGCAAGGCTTCCAAAGGTGTAGCAGGGGGTGGCATCAGGAGCGGGGGCGAGCTCAGAGGCTCGTCTTTCAGGGAATCCACACTTTCGTCTCGCTCCGATGTTGTGCGGATAAAGCTATCCTGGCTGCGTTGTGCCACCATTACCTGCGCTTGCGGTCGTAGTCTCGGAGAACTGGAGTCTGACTGTCTCCGTAGACCTGCCGGCATGTCCGAGCTGGAAGAGCCGCTGTCTGCTGCCCTGCTAGGGATGTTGTACCCTTCCTGGGACGAGGAGAACCTCGACTGCTTCTGGGGATCTGCGACCAAGTCAGTTTGATAGATAGCGTCATCTCTAAAGGGTTATGAGGCACGAACCTGGCACGGGGGTGCTTGGCGGCATTGGGGAGTCCAGGCTCTGTATCCGGCGTCCGTTGATGCCCATGGACGGACTCGAACTCCTACCTCGAGGGACGCCTTCCATGGTCGACTCCGTTTTCATAGCTGATAGAACTTCACTCGCGCTGGGACGCTGCAATGGATCCAAGGCGAGAAGCTTCTTAAGAAGGTGGTATAGCTTTGACGGAAGATCTGGCCGTTCTCTGCGTTCGTCTTGGAAGCCCTGCCAGTCTGTAATCTCCGCGCGCAACTCGTCAATGTCTTCGAGTTCTTCGTTGATGGTGTTAGCACTTCGGTATGGCAGGCGACCGAAGCACATAAAGTAGAGAATCATGCCGAGAGAGAAAATGTCGGACTTTGTGGTAAAATTGCCGTAGCGCCCGGTCGTCAAGTCTCTCCTCAATACCTCTGGCGCGCAGTAAGAAATGGTTCCGGTTGATCCAGTCGACTTTCGCACCATATTCTCTGATTGAACCTCGCCAAAGTCGCTGATCAGGCAGATTATTCCACTACCCTCTCGATGAAGGAGACAATTACTGGGTTTCAGGTCCCTGTGAATATAATTGGCAGCATGAAGATATGCCAGTCCCGAGGTAATGTCTTTGAAGAGGGAGTAAATCTCCTCAAAGGACAGCAATCTCTGCGAGGCGAACTGGTCGCGGGGCAGCTCAAGCTGGCCCTTGGATTTCCGTCGCATCTGGGCTTTGAGCTGTTCCTTGGTCGTTTCCTTGGGTTGGTCCCCGATAATGTAGTTTAGCAGGTCGCCGCCATTGCAGTATTGCTGCAGAATGAAAGCGCATGCTACGCTGGGGCCGAAGCGTGTCAGCTTGACGTCCTCGAGCCAGACATGGCGGTAAGAGACCAAATTCGGGTGCGAGAGCTTGGCGAGCAACTCGACTTCGATGAGAACTAACAGGTCCAGCATCAGCGTTCAGGTCTCACTAAAAGTAGCACAAGGATTTCGTACCTTTTTCCAACCATGCGTGATCGTCGCCTACAGGCACGCGCTTACACGCAAAATGACCTATCCACCATCAGTATCTCTGCCAGGTAATCGATCGCTCGAGGCCCATACCAAGCTGACAGCCATCGATTTCGTGGCGGACAAGTAGCACCACACCCTTGCCACCACGACCAAGCTCTTTTTCCTCGACGAAGAAAGTTTTGAAATAATTAGGACTAAAAGCCTCGCGGCGGATGCGGCTGCCCTCCTGGACCGAGGGTGTACTCGAAATGAACTCGGCGTCCTCGGCTTCCTCTATTACGGCAGCTTGCGGGTGGGGTAAACTTGGTTGCACAATGCGACGAATGGGGCTGGGCGGGGGATGGTGGTCGGCGCGAGAGTCGTGGCCGCCGGCTCGGAGCATGCGAAAGTAATTCGGGTCGACAAAAGAGTCATGATGGCGAGCGCTGTCGAATTGACGTTCGGGAGAGGGTGATCGCAAGGGCTGGCGGCATGTCGGGCATTCGGACAGACCACGGATCTCGAGTCTCTGGGAGGACGGGTCACGAACTACTATAGCGTTGCGGTGTCGGCTAAAGACAAGCACCGTCAGCAAGGTCCAACATCTGACCAAGAGGCCGCAGCACGGAGGTGAACCAACAGGACGATTTCGCGACCTTCGCGCGGGTGGTATGGGATCAGCGACATGGCTGGTCGATCTTGGTATGCTACTCTGGGGCCGTTGGACCGACAGAGAGGTCTGGATCATGGCCCAAAAGTGGGCAGCTGTGATGTTTGTTTGTTCGGTAGACGCTGAGGCTACTTCAGTCGGGTGTCTGGGTGAGACGGGGAAGCGGCATGGGTTCAGCGAAGCTTCGAGAAGCTGTAATGGCGAGGCGAAGCTCCTGGGTGAGTCAAGACAAGGCCTAGGTCAAGGTGGTGTCAAGGTGTCCAGTCCAGGTGAGAAGTCCTAGGTGAAGGGAAGTGAGGTGAGGTGAGGTGAGGTGAGGAGGGGTGTGTGTGTGCAGGTGGAAAGGTTGTTTTGTTGACATTGAATGACCTCACACTGTCTGTGGAGCCACCCAAATACCCCACGTGCCCCGCCCCGGAGCGTTCGAACCGCTCTGTGGGGCGCCGATGACTGCCGGACCAGAGGAGCCCACACTGTGTCACTGCCACGGGGCATTAAAGTAAACAATCGCCAACACATCAGATAACATATCAGATGACAAACTCATCATTTTATTTGCGAATTCTAATACAGAATCGACCTTCTATTTGTTACACTGGACCATTGAAGCGGTTAAACATTCGATGATTGATAGTTTCAGTCAGGTCTCGTACGAATTAGATCTGCAAGACGGTAGTGTCTCTGCCTGGAATTGCGCTCAGCTATTTCAGCTTGTCAAAGTTGTCAAGCAAACACACAATACCTGCAACGACAAGGTACCTAGGCACGTATCTGAGATCTTGCAATGCGAGGTACGATGTTTATCTGCAACCTCTATTTGAAACATTCCAAGATGTCACGAGAAGTGCTTGAATCCTTCCCGCAGACGATACGACCCTCTGTCAGAGTTGTACACTCACACATCCCCCGAATAGTCCAAGGGATCGTTTCTAATCTGTACGGATACTGTAATCCTCTTCCTAAAAGTTCGAGACTCGTGTCACAGCCCGTCGTTGCATCAGGGACTCGGGAGACAGTTGACTAGTCCCCTAGTGGACTTCTCCCCTGGCCCAGACAACGAAGATCCTCTCCAACTCCATAAACACCAACCCCGGCACCAAGGTGATATGACCAGGGCCGCTTCCTGTCGCAGTCACACTTGCCAGCCCAGCTCGGGCCCGTCACCAGGGGTTTGAAACCGAAAAAGAGCCTACCTACAGATATGGAACCACCGCGGCATATCCGTAAACGGGGCGGCCACAGAAAATTCGTATTAAATCCAGCGAAGCAAGCTTGCAAGTGCAAAGCACCAGCGGGCCCCTTCACCACGACTCAAAACATCACAACAACAACAACAACAACCCCGGCTCAACCCTGTCGTCGTCAAACCTCTGTATCCAAACGGAGTATCCGCAGACTGCGGTGTCTTCACCGCACCCGCTCAAATCCCCGACCACGAAGAAAGAAGAACAAAAAGCGTTCATGTGTCAACGCAAGGTCTTCATCCACCACCGGTGTGGCCACAAGATCACCGAGCTCATTGAGCAGTGCGAGACCTTTGAGTGTCCCGGCATCACCCAGAAACCCGTCATCAGTAACCGGTATACCTGCATCGTACGGACTTGTATGTGGTACGGTCAGTTTTGACTGAGTCTGGGCGTGAGAGGGATAGAGACAATGAGCTGGGTTGATGAGTGGGCGCAGAGTTTGACTCCCGTGTAAGTGGCCGCTCGACCGTGGTTGTATCTCAATGACGGTCCTGATACCGCAGAGGCGGCTGCTCCGGCCTCGTGTCACCTCATAAATCTGTCTAGCTGCCAACGCCCGTTATCTGTGCATGGGTTAAACTCGGTCTCAACGTGCTTCCGAAAGGCCCAATGTGACAGAGACTTTCACACTTCACGGCCTAGACGCGACCTCCTACCTCTCGAAGAGTGGAACGATGGAACTAGCAAAGTAGCAGACAGAGAAGCCTTTCATCCCTTGCTGTATTCTGGCGTTATTAGATTCTGCCCTGTTCTCCCGGGCTATACACTACACAGGAAGCGACAAGGTCGTGCAAGCATACCGATTAGTCTCATTCGTATTACACTGTCTGCTCATTCAGCCAATAGCCTCATAAAATTGGATAGAAAAGGGTCTAATAGCATCAAACAGCCTCATCAACCCAGCATCAACATATACTTTAATTTCAGCTACCTTAATCCCTACCTAAACGTCCAATCCGAGTCCCGTCTGTGCCTTGCATTAGCGAAGTGCATCTCTAGCAACGTTTTTCAACACTAGAAGCGATCCATCGCGCAAGTTTGTTTCGTGGTCTAGTTCAAATAAGGCAGCTCAACGTCGGTTAGAACCTTTCCTGCCTTGTCGCTCCAAACGCTCTTTGAAAAAAACACAACGAGAGGCATGAATTCTTCACGATTGTTAGCAATGTCTGTTTTAAATTCTGGAAAAGAGAAAGAGAGAGAGCGCGCTCTCTTTCCGATGGGTATCATATGTATGTCCAGTTCTACCTAGCTCCTTGTGGTATTCAACCTCCCCTTCCCGGCTTTTAGACCACCTGAACACTCCTTTGCGCCCCCCAGAAAAGCACATAATACAAAAGTGAAGAACCAATCGTGAACGGAAGACCAAAAAAAATATCAAAAACGCCACCAATCAAGTGAGTAGGACGACCAACGTGCCCGCACGCCAAGGGGAAAACGCAGGCATCCGGATAGCCAGGCCGCCGACGAGGAAGACGCACCCGTCCGCCAATGGCGGAAAAGCCACCTAGTAAATATCCCGATCATGCAAAATCTGCCACTTGCGATGATAAAGATTAATATGCGCCCTCAACGCATCCGCCGACTCGTAATTATCCGTCGTCCCCGTCGGCACGCAGAGACAGCACGCAAAGACATTTCTGTCCGAGTGCGACTTGGCCAGGAACCGGCTCGACATGCGGAAGCCGTCCTTGAGGACAATGTAGTCCTTGTTGCCGGGTAGCAGCGGATTCCACCGGTACCCGCACTTGCATCGCTTCGGTGCCTCGGGGATCGGCTTGGAGAGGTCGACCTGCAGCGTCATGGCCTCTGGGCAGAACATGCTGAAGACGCTTACTTTGGGGCGGAGAAAGGCGGAGGCGGTGGTGCTGGTTGTGCCTGCCTCTGAGGGCGCGAAGATGGAGACGGCGTCGCTGGCGATGGCTTTCGGTGTTGGTGGTGTTGGGGGAGGGGAGGGCGGTTCTGATTGGAAGGGTGCTTGGTCGGTACTGATGGTCATGGTTGTTGACATGTCGTCGTCTTCGTTGTCGTCTTCAACTTCAAAGACGCTGCTGTGGTTGTCGACTGGCGAGCTAGCTGAGCTTCGTGAGATGGACCTCGTCTGCCGCGAGTAGGGCTTGGGGACGGGAAGGTGCTCGGGGATATCTGGGCGTCCGGCAGCAAGGCGGTGATATAAGGCAGAGAGGGCCTGAACTGAGGCGATCCTGACAGACTCGGATGTCTGTATGATATCCGAGATGTTGAGAAGGCCGATCAAGCTTGAGTCGCAAGCGACCCGGCGTAGGTGGGATACCCGACTACTGAGGTTGAACAGCTGGTTGGAAAGCATATCCCGGCATTGTGCTGTTGATCCTGTTAGCGTGGCTGCAGACAAATGGAAGACGGGTTGCGACGTCGAGGGCCGGATGGGGTGGAAACTCACTATCGCCAGTGGAGAAGTCGGTCCCAATGAGAACAGTCGCAATGTCATATGTCTCCTCGATCTGATTCCTCGCAAGCTCCAAAGAGATACTCAATGCACATGTAATGATATCCCTTCGAACACCCGATTCTGATGATTTTCGACAGTAGTGATTCCCAAGTGTGCGTTTCCTCTTCCAGTGGGTGTAGTGCTCTGTGCCCTCGGCGTATAACTCTTTGAGAGATGACACGGCCTCATCGACTGTGGTTGCCTCCATTGTTGACCAGTCACTTTGATGGCATGATGGAATGGTGCCGAGAATAGGATACGAAGTAGGTAATTACGTGAAGGGACTAACTTGGTACTGAAGGGAGTGGGAATGACGAGGGAGAGAGAGGATCTTTTGGGAGAGAAGGGATTAAGAACGGGAGCCAGCGGAAACCGGATCGGGAAAAGCAATGTTGGCGGGCGGCCGGGAATCAGCTGAATGACCAGGGCGAGCTGAGGCCTGAAGGAAGGGAGGAGAGTTATGAGACCGTGGGAAAGGGCAAACAGAGTGCCTATCGGCAGATGGGAGGGGAGCACGACTCAGAACAAGCTTCAAGCGAGACAACAGATCGAGGGGGTGGGTTACCAACAGGTTGGGGCCAAACGGGCGCGCGTGTGTCTCTTGATGAAGTGGGTTTTTTTTCTTCTGGTTTTCTTTGTTGCTTTGACTCTTGAAGTATTCGTATGGATACATCATATGGAGTACAGCGTATGGATGGGAGGGTGCTCGGGCTTCTTGGATCGACAGGAAGCCAGGGAGGAGATGGGGGGAAGATCGGGCGTGGAGCTACGGACACTAGAGCAGAGAAGATGGGCGGGCAAACTTTTTGAGCCAATGTGGCGTTGGCGGGCGTTGGGTTGGTGGACGCCAGGACGCCAATCTCACGACTCGAGGTGCAAGTCGTCCGAACGGGCGCACGGGAACTCGAGGGGGCGGGTAGCCGACATGACAGGAGGCATGGGACGGCGTTGGCGTAGGTAGACGAGGGTTGGGGGGTTAATGGGCATGGTCCACGGGCAAGGGACATGCAATGCCTGTCAAGTCCAGTTTGGCCAGAGAGTCATGTACGACGATCTCTGGATGTGATTGAGATTCTCGTCTCATCCCACCGTCGGCCGGCGGATGGTGTGCATGCTGACGATGCTGCAAGCTGAGGTTTTCTTGGGGGCCTTCTGGGGGAGGGCTGTCCTTTTTGGGGGTCGCAAATGAACGGAGAAAGAGACGAGAAGGGTGAGAGTGTCTGCTTTTGCTCGGGAGGGACCGGTAGAATTTTCCATGTTGGCAGTTCGCTTAATGAGTAAAACATACGGTCAAGTGAGTAGGTAGGTATGTAAAAATACGTAGGTAAACATAAGAGGAGATACCCCCGGACAACTGCCTGTGCTAGAAGGAAGATGGCCAGGATGAATGCAGGGCAAGCCGCAAAGGCAGGCTGGGGGCATGGGAGCATGGGACCAGGCCAAACAAGAGTCGCTTCTATTCGTTGGGATAATATGCCACACACAGTATTGAAGGCGAGGCGAGTTGAGTCGAGGCGAGTCGGAGGATCCCACGCGTGCGGTTCCAACTGGCAATCCGTTACTGTTGGAACTTGGTGTTGCAGGCCCTGGTTGCCTCTGTTGCTGTGCCTGCCGGTTTCTCCAAATAAACCACCCAATCCTTGATTCTGTGATGTGACAAGGTAACAAGACAGAGACAGGACAGGACAGGCTTCCTTGCCGTTGGGAGTTTCGTCCGAATGACGACGACATGACAGGGGTCCTACAATACGGAGTAGGTAGACGTGGTAGGTATAGGTAGGTAGGTAGTTCGTACGGATACTGGCCAACAGTTCAGACGTGTCATTCGCGTCAAAGAAAGATGGGCTCAGATGGCACCGATGGCACCTTGGGGATCAAATGCGACCGCGCCGTCTGTGCTCAAGCTTGGGGTGGACACGCCGCACTATCCATCCTGACACCCATCATCTATCTAACGGTCAGCAACCTTGCACCTTGTCCGGTTCGCAGAAACTCGACGGGCAATCGACGGCCAGTCCGGTTCAGTTCGATTCAGTTGCCTGTCACTGCTCGCAGCTCAGTCAGTCTGGTCCCTGAATGGCAATATAGAGACACGAGAGACTGATTGAGAGGGAAATGAGTCCATTGAAAAAAGGCTGAGAGGAAATTAGTGTGCTGACTGGGCGGGCGCTACGCTTCCCAGGTACCTTGGTACCGTAGTACCTTACACAGTAATTACTAGTCAAGGTACTTAGCACGGCTAGCACCTCGGTGGAGTCGATCCGTCTCCCATCGGCCCATCCGGCGAGCCGGCCCCGAACTGTGGATCCCCCGCCCCTCGGTCTCCCGGTATGGCGATTGGCCCACCACCGCAAGCCATCGCTAAAAGGTACTTGGTACTTACTGCGAAGAGTTAGACTCTCGAGGCTTCCATTGACTCCTCCGCCGCAATCCTTCATCTTTCCACCTTTCAGCCTTTCAAGCCATCAAGGAATCCCGAGACAGGCGCATTCTCCACGTCACATGCTAGCCCTTCAACATCCTTATCGTGCCCGTCCGCATCGGAACGCCAAGCATCGTGGCACTCTTCTCCTAAAGACACCTAAAGACTGCTAGCTTACGGTTTGCAGCTTCTGCCGCCACGACCACCGCCGCCGCGCATCCATTCACTCAAGGGTATTACTATTACCTCTTACGTGCCTGGGCAAGCCACTTCCACCTACCTTCATCCGGCCTACGCAGTATCAGCTCAGCTCCACGCTTTCACATGGCCAAGACCAAAGGCAAACAACGTGGCCTGACCAACATGCTTGGAGCTCCGGAATAGTAACTCATCGCACAATGCCACCTCGCCCTCGTCAAACCCGCCAGAGCTGCGACCGGTGCCACGCCCACAAACTGCGTTGTCCAAAACAGCCTGGCAACGCCATCTGCATCCGTTGCTCCAAAGCCGGAGCCGCATGCATTTACAGCCCCGTGGGCACGCTACCCGCCTACCAGGACCTGGCTGCAGGGCCGGGCAATGATAATGCCCTGCCCCTTTCAAACGGTGCGACGGACCTGGACTGGGGCAACTTCTCTTTCGATGACATCCTGGGCTTCTCCTCTGTTCAGCCTTGCCGTGTCCCGTCACCTCGCTATGATGAAGCACCGCAGCCTCAGGTTCCAGCTGACCCTCGATCTCAATGGTTTGAGGAGCTGTCTGCCATCACGGCCACTCTGGATAGAGCCAAGAGGGGTCTTCCTCCCATTGACAGATTCCACGTCGCTGGCCCCGACTCCAAAAAGTACTGCCTCGAGATATCTAAACAGTACAGCCACAAGGAGTCCCTCGAGCTACTGCTCGCCGAGACCCAGAAGCTGGTCGATGTATATCCCAGAGCCGTACAGTATGCTCTAGAACAGCGCTCAACCCCCGACTGCAGCGTTCCAAACTGCATACACACATACAAGTCCATCCCCGGCCTCGAAGACGAACCCTTTGCAAACTCGGCGCAGTTGACATCAAAGATCGACTACCCTTTGCTCAGTCTCCTACTCTGCTGTCATTACCGATGTGCCGATGTCATGGAGCTCGTCCTGTGCCACGTCCAGCTCTGTCTCAGGTTCCTCGCCGCGGCTATGCAGCAAGATGTCCAGCCTCACGAGTTTGACGTACCAGAGCTCAAAATTGGCTCGTTCACCCCGTCACGGCGGTCATCGCCCTCCATCATCATGGCGATTTTGATCGATCTCCAGTCTTCCCTGGCCACTTGTGTCCCGCGACTTAGCTCTGCACTGAACGAGATGGAAGGGGACTGTGGCAAGGAAGGCCGCATACTCCTGCTTCAATGCGAACTACTTGCAGAGAGAGCAAACTCCATCGTAGACCGTCTCAAAACACTGAGGGATACTCTCAGCAATGCAGGGCTCCTGGCCTAGAGTCTATGGCAGCCAAGCGGACATTAATGTGCCAACGACGTAGACGACTCACATTGGCCGGGCTTCTTCTTATTGAAACCAAACATTAACACCAATCATATCGATATGACGTTTGGGCTATTAGTCCAAGAGAAAAGCACGCACTCTTCCCGGGTCGTCTTCCGTACGTGCGTCGGCAGTCCTGGCGATGGCATGGATATCCCTCCATGGAAGGCTTCGCAACCCCTCCTCCTTAAACTCCTCGACACCTCAAACGCGCATCGCAGGTGACCTTGAGTTAAATCGAACCACGGGAGAGGATCTTTATGATATATGCCGAGATGCATGGTCATATAGAAGTTGTTCTTCACTGGTTGATGGATTTTATCCGCCGGCTGTTTCTGTCCACGGCAGCTCAGCTTCCATATAATGTTGCGTTGGAAGACTCTGGTTAATAACCACTAGTCATAGCAGATGACCTCTACCTGAATGCTCAACAGTTTCATTGCTTCGGTCATTCTCTCATGTATAAGACTTCATTCCCAGCGAGTAATTCATTGTACTTTGAAGAAGGAAAAGTTACCCCTAAAGCTTCCGACAATCCTCTCACCTACAACGAGGGCGTGTATCAACCCCAACTTTCACGATGAAGATTCATGCAGCTGCTCTGATACTGGCGTCTGTTGTATCGGCTCATTGTGCGTAGAATACAACCTAGCCCTATGGCAATCCTGTAAACAGAACTAACAACCACGCAGACGTCTTCCCCTCCGTCACTTACAATGGCAAAACCACAAACGACTGGGAGGTCGTCCGCAAAACTACAAACTTCCAATCCAACGGACCCATCACAGACGTGACGAGCTCACAGATGACATGCTACCAACTCGCGCCCGGTAACGAGGGGGCCACGGTTCTAGACGTCACAGCTGGCTCGACCATTGGTTCGTCCGATCATTCCTTCTCAGACTGACAGAAGATGTTCTAGATCATTAACACCAGATGAACCAGGATACAACGCCAAAGCGTCCATCTCCCACCCCGGGCCCATCAACTTCTACATGGCCAAGGCGCCCTCCGGAACAAGCATCACAAACTGGGACGGCTCCGGCAAGAATTGGTTCAAAATCTACAGCGACGGGCCCACAGTCACCTCCAGCGGCCTAATCTGGCCAACGAACGGTTCGGTTTCCCTTCCCACAACTCTTTTTGAAGACAGGCGCTCTAACGTAACTGCTATTCTCTATCAAGGCAAGGCAACCGTCAACGTCCAGGTCCCAAAGTGCATCGAAAACGGCGACTACTTCCTCCGCGTCGAGCACATCGCCCTCCACAGCGCCAGCAGCGTCGGCGGCGCCCAGCTGTACATCTCCTGCGCCCAGCTCCGCGTCACGGGCGGCACGGGCACGTATAAGCCGACTCTCATGTCGTTCCCGGGCGCGTACAGTCCCAATGATCCCGGCTTGGTTGTGAATATCTACTACCCTGTGCCTACCAACTACAAAGCTCCTGGGGGTGATGCTTTGACCTGTTGAGGTTATCTGAAGTTGTCTGAAGTTGGAATTGGGGCGTCGATGCAATGGTCTGAGGTTCTTTTGCACCGGGGTTGAGGAGTGCCGGAAAGCACTGCCAGTACGATGGCTCTCTAGTCCAACTTGATTATTTCTACGATTGCAATTCAAATTACGTTCTCTGCGGTATTACATGTAGCTTTAACGCACATTTACACAGCGCAGTTTGCCCCGTCCCATCTCATCACCCGCCCTCCGTTACATGTGACGAGAACAGGCTCGAGCTTATAAATAAAAAGATGGCCATATAGGCCTCTTCCCTCCGCGCTCGTTCCTCTTGCCCATACATCATGAGACCCTCAAAAACCAAAGAGCGTTAATCGCAGTCACAGTCAGTCACTATCACACCTACAACAGGGTTTAACAGCCGACAACCAGTAAGATCGCCTGCGACCCGCAGTAGAAGCTCACCCAGATGGTAGCAGTCAAGGCAGAGCTGCCACGAATGCCATTCTGGCGGCTAAGTAGTTGAAGGCTACCCAGCTGCAAATCCGTTACAGCCTTCCCTTTTCGGCAGATGCCCGTCCCCCAAAGCGGCGATGTAACCCCCACAAAGGATCACACGGAGGGGGATGAGCATCATTGACGATATAGACAGGTCCAGGTGCGGGGAAGGCTTACAAGTTGACAACCACGAAGTTCGTCGATTGAATGTGAAGTCGGTATCGCTTACTCGCCCTGTTGTTCGTAAGTTGGAACGTGGCGGTTAATGACCTGCAAGAAGCTACTTAGACTCCTGACTCGAGCAGCACATTCGATGCGGAGATAACGGAACAACTCGCAATCACCAAGTGGATAAGGCTCTCGCGCTTCTTTTCAGGAGATATAAGCCTTTTTGAACTTCCTACAAGGCATGCCCCGGCAAGAAGCTGAGGTGCAAAAAAGCTTATGCAAGGGCCGGGGCCAGCAGCTGACATGCTCGCGGCGCACGATCTGGCCTAGTGTTCAACGACCACACTCAAACTTCAGAGTAACTCATTAAAGGACGGAAAAATTATCGCTCGCAGATTGGCGTGGACACTGAAAAGTGAAAAGGAAGCGAAAAAGGTGGTGCCCTTTTTCGACGTTTCGGCATCTAGAGTGCCGAGTTGGATACGATGCTTTATTGATTGGGGGGCATTGGGGAGCCAGATTCGACAGAGTCCAGATAGACTTTTGAGCTTTCTTAAATACCACGGGCAGAGAACTTTGGGGCAAACGAGAGTTGATCAGATCTCGTCAGTTTTCGTCCGATGGGTCCAACTTTGTAAAGCAAACGAAAAAACCATGTTCTTCTCAGCTCCCAAATTGGCTTGCCTCTTGGCAGCGGCTCATGAAGCTGCGGCCGTCACTTACAGCGTGCCCGCCAAGGTCAACACGGGCAGTCTCTCGTACGCTCCTCTCGAGGCGGCCCCCGTCGGTCTATCGTGAGTTTCACCGGGGATTTCTCCTCTCGAGCGCCTCACCCCAACCCCCCCCCCCCAGTATGGATGTCTGTTTCTGACTCTTGTTGCAACAGCTTCGAGTTCTTCGCCTTCCCGTCGTACTTCAAAAACGTAACAGCAACGAACCAATGCCTCGCCAATCTCAAGGACCTGACGGGCACCTGGCCCCCGATCCGCATCGGCGGCACGACCCAGGACAGGGCCTCTTATGATGCGGCGACGTCGGCGTACGTGGTCTACTCGGTCGCTAACGCCGCCGACGCGCCCGCTTCGCTGACGTTTGGGCCCAACTTTATGACTCTGGCGGCGACGTACGCCGGCGACGTCACGCTTGGCCTGAACAGGGGGAAGAACAACATTGACAATACCATTGCGGCTGCCAAGGTTGCTGTGCAGGAGATGAGAAACCTGTATGCCATTGAGGTTGGGAACGAGCCCGAGTGTAAGTGGAAATTGCCAAGCTTTTCTTTATTGCGAAGCCAGAAACTGACGGGTGAATGTTCAGATTGGTCGGGAGTACAGCCCATTGCCGCGGGAGGATGGAGTCCCGCGATGGATGCTGCGTCGCAGAACCACTGGGACATCACTGTTGGCAATGCCATTGGCAAGAAGAGCATTATCCAGGCCGGCAACTCCAACTCTCTTCCCCCCACTTGGGGAGCCGAGGAGCTCATCGCCAGCGGTAACGCCACGGTCAGAGAGTATGTGAAGACGTACGCACATCACAACTACCCTGGAGGGTCTGTGACAGGTTTGATGTCCCACTCAAGTATCTCAAGCAACGTTCACTTGTAAGTTGGTCGCGTATTCCCCTTAGTAGGCTTCGTGACTGACATAATTTCCCAGGTTCGACAAAGACATTGCCAGTGCCCTTGCAGTCAACAAACCTTACATCTTTGGAGAGACTAACTCTGGTAAGTGCATAGACACTCCCATACTTGTGGTCTCCTCCAGTACTTGACCTAACGAGGAATGAATAACAGTCGCGGGAGGCGGCGCAGCCAACGTATCCCCAACCTTTGGCGCAGCCCTCTGGGTAATGGACTATGCCGTCCGCCTAGCAATGTCCAAAGTCAGCAGAATCTACTTCCATCACGGCACCCTTGGCAACAACCCATACGCCTTCTTCGGCCGCTACTCCATGGGCAACCCGTACGTCGGCGCCTACGCCGCAACGGCCTTCATGGCCGGCGGAAAGCACCTCGCCGCCCTCGACGACGGGAAATCCGCCTTCGCCGCATACGTCACCTACGACGCCGCCGGCGCGCCGTTGCGCGCCCTGCTGTACAACTCCAACTACTACAGCGGCACGGGGACTAGAGGTACCGAGGCGTTTGTGCTCAGCGGGCTGACGGCGGCCCGGGTTCGGAGCAAGCGTGTCACTGCTGCCAGCGCGGAGGCGAGGCAGGATCGCGGCGGGAATGCGTCTTTTGGACAGCAGTTCTTCAACAACGGTACTTGCACGATTGGCGGGACGGAGACGTTTGAGACGACGACGGTCTCGGGCGGGCAGGCTACTTTCAGCGTGGGAGCCAGTGAGGCTCTTCTCGTCTACCTGCAATGAGTTCTGAATAGGGGTGTTGAGGCCAAGCAGATCCGGTGTTTCCTTAAAAACGAGAGCTGACATGAGAGTTTGGTTGATATGAAATGTGATATGGCGTTGCATGCATGTAGTGGTTGTGAGAGTGGGAAGGGAGGAAGAAGAGAGCTGGGATACCTCACTAAATCGGAGTTCCCGATACATACCCCGTTAATTGAATTAACCTGCGAGGCTTCTTTTATGCAAGCATAAATCGCGATGAAACTTTTCATCTTGTTTCCAGGCCCTTTCTCTAGTAGATCAGCATCGAATAAGCAGAAAGGACGTAGGAATTTCAAGCATCACTTTCTCAGGTGCTTCACGTGTTAGTTTCTGGGTTACGACGGGGGAAAGCTGAGGTAAGTGATACAACAAGGCAAAGCGCCATACTCTAGTCTCTCATCTCAACGTCATTGCTCTTTTTTCAGCCTTAACGGAAGTACATCGCATTAGAGTCCACCTCAACCCGTCTTGGCACTATCTGGGCAGCTCTGCCCATGTCAGTCTGTTAAGCCTTCTTCGCTGCACTTACTACTTCATTGCTCTCCAACAATAACCTCCCTCTGTACCTTCAAGCGGTTCATGACTACTGCTTCGATTTCATCACGACATCATCTTCTTTCATTATTCACCAGTCTCTCGTCAGCTGGGATTGACCACCATCGCTCTTCATCAGCTAACTCTCTAGTACAGCTCACACATCGTGAAGAGATCTACACCTACATCACACAGGAGACCTCACCATGGCCGATAAATACATCCTCCGCGTGACTGCAGGCCCAGGCTACGACCTGGACTCTCAAATAGAAGTCCCTGTCAACCAGGCTAAACCCACAAAGATCACCAGCGCCCTTGCCGACGTCGAGCTCAACGTCCGGATACAAAATTACGCCGGCCTCCCTCGCAACTCACCCTCCACCTCACCCTACTTCTCCGCGGAACCCCACGCCACCAACAACGACCAGTACAGCATCTCTTTCCGCTTCACGCCCAAAAAGCCATCAGGTGCCTCCTCCTCGGCAGACGGCATATCGGCCGAGGACCTGCAGTTCGGCAACGACTTTGACCACCCCATCCGTGACCGTCTCCCGCCGGGTTTCAACACGGCGCTTAACATTGTAAAGTGGTGGATCGATCCCGGTCTAGACGGCGACGCCTACGCCGACGTCCCTCATCTCTACGGCCCCGCGCTGAGCTCCTTCAACACCATTCACGTGGGCTCCGGCGTCCACGACGAAGAAAAGGGCGGGTTATGGTTCGAGGAAGGAGGCGACGAGGCCGGCCTCGAAGAACGAGAGAAGATTGGCGCGCCGGCTACGGCCAAGGAGCGCATGAAGTGGGCGCTTCGTAAGGACAGCAAGGAGAACTGGCTGTTTGAGTATGGCAAGACGTACGGCTTGGACTTCTTCAATGCCTACCTCGACTTTGCCAACCTGGCGTTGCGCTTACCTGGCTACCAACTCGCCATCATGAAGTATTGGGACGGACAAGGCCTTCGGTGAGTTTTTGCTCCTCCCTTTTCCTATCCACAAAACCTACTTTGCTTCTCTGCGAGTCGACTGTTCCGTAATATTGTTCACATTCCGCGCCATGGCCGTCACTTTCCGACTTGTGCTATTGACTTTGGGAGGGAAACAATGTCACAGCAACACGAACACCCTGCGGTGGCTTTCCAAAGCACGGTTCAAAATATGTTACTTTCTCTTGTTTCCTTTTTCATGTCATTCTTACCAGCAGCAGGGAGGGGGAGCCTAAGCGCTCACATACGCTTAGATATGTTCTTCGGAACAAGACCACCGGCGACGTCTACCTCGTCGTCCTCTTCGAGATCCACCTCAAGGACGACGTGAACGAAGACGGCACGCTCAAGGCCAGCGCCAGGGGCGTAAAGGCTGGTGCTCTGCCGCCGGCTGCCAAGGACGACCACGAGTCTCACGATGAGGCCAAGGCGCTCGAGGAGGCTAGGAAGAAGATGGGCCCCGCTGCACATGAGACCGAGGACACCAATGCCGACGATGTGGACTAGAGTGATGGGTCGAGTACACTTCCGCGAGAAGTATGAAGTTTTTGCGATGAGAGTCGGCCGATTTTCTTCGTACCAGTTTACGTCGAAAAGCGAGGCAGCGTGGCCGGTAGACACGAACGAATGGCCGGTAGAGGCCAGAGTCGGGCTTAGATATACATTAATAAACAGCTCTTGCCTTGCATCATGTTACCTCAATATAGCACTGATCACACCGAATGGAAGTTTACCAAGAGCCCAACAGTCGTTGTCAGCTCTAGTCACTTGGGCCAGACAACCAGTTGTGGACAGAACTTGGGGGCAACACACGCAGTGCGCGAGAGCTAAGGCAAATGCGTATCGGCAGATATTCAGGAAGCGACATGAAAAGATGGAGAGAAGAGATCTCTACACCGCATCAGAGAGTAGTCTTTCTCACCTTATGACGTCTCCTCCCGTCGTAATGAAATACTACCTGGTACACCATCACACTGTCACACTGTCAAACCAACAGAAACAACCAGGCTCAATGCCATTGTCCGCTCAGCATCACATGAGGATCCAGGCCCAGACTCTGGTAAAGGCTTGGTATGAAGTCATACTTAGTCCGAGAATCACTTCTCTCTGCGTCGGGCATGTGAAGCAAACGTGGGAAAGTATCCCTGAACCCCTGTCCGCCATGCCGTGGGTGTGACGAATGCCGCGCTGCACGCCGAGACTGAGAGGGACCCCCATGGGCGCCCCGGCCGGAAATTCCAACCCATGTCCGTATCCGTAGACGGCGTCAGCGGGTCGACCGTCAGAGTTCCCCGCCGCCGAGGATTACGGGCCGCTTGGCTGCATCGCCGATCGTCATCCGACAATTCGCCCACGTCCTTTTGTCTCTCGATTCGGCAAATCTTTGTACTATCACTTGATGTGTAGCCCTGGAGGCTTTTACTGGCAAAAAGTGCGCGGGTCGACGTGCTATCTGTGACACGGCTGACATATTCCTTCTTTACCATTTGCGGATCGTAGCCGGTGTAAGCTCTGTTCGAAATATCCTATAACACTTGATATTGATGCTAGCAAGCCTTGTTCTCCCAATGTTCACCTTCAACACGACTTGCACTCGTTCAATAGGATTCAATGGAACTGGCCATAATGACAAAATCATATGTCCCAAAGCCATGCCACTTTGATTCAGTATCGACGGAAATCCTAGCTTATATCCAAATAAAGTGACTACATCCGGGAAGCAGGTAACCGCTACATACGTCCCTAGAGGAGGACCAAATCAAACCTCTGAACTCATAGACGACGGAACTCGCCCCCACAGTTGACTCGCAACCTCTCCAGCCCGGCATGTAGCACCAATATCTCCCAGTCACACCAGACGACACACCGCTCCCCACTGAAATCCTCTTGAGAACACGCAGCGCGCCTCGAGGCCGAGCCTCTATTCCCCATATTTTGGTCTTGGAACGCGCCCACTCCTCCATGACCAGTATGACAGGACATTGGCTCGTTGGCTCCAGATATGCCATCATGAGCTCCAAGGGCAACCCCCCCCCCCTCTTGCTTGAATCCTCCAGAGGCCCACTGTGACGGCCCTGTTTGCTGATAATCTGACATCTCCAGACTATTTAACCCCCTCAACTGTCAGAAACGGCCCGCTTCTGTCCCTCGAGGCCCATCTTTCTCCCCAGATTTCGCTTTCCCCCATCCATGTCATTCACATAAGACAACGAGTCCAGATTACCAGTGCATACACAATTCGCACATAGGGATAGTAACGAGATCGCGGCAGGCAAAAGGAGAGAAATGCCTCCCCCAAAGGTCGACGCGGAGGCCCCTCCAGTCCCCGAACCCACTCCCTCCTTCCAAACCTCCGGAAGCGACACCGGCGGCCCCCACGGACCCGCCGACATCAAGAACTCGGCTACCCCTCCCAACGGAGCAGGCCGCGCCTCAACCGCCGCTCTCCTCCGCAACCCCCTCGTCGGCCTAACATACGACGAGATCCTCAAAGATGCAGACGCCTTTACTGAGACAAAGGGCCTACAGGAACACCGCGAGGTCTTTCGAAAGGGCGCCCTCGTCGCGCAGGTGATTAACCGCCCCAACGGCTTCGAGTCCGTCGCCGCCCTCGACGAGGAGGAGAAGGCTGTTTTACGAAAGGAGGTCACGCATCGTTGGCATCAGCCCATGGCGCTCTACTTTTTGTGTGCGCTGTGTGCTGGGTCGGCTATTGGTATGGGGGACCCTGTAATACAGGAAGGTTGAAAGATGCTGATGTTTTTATTGCAGTTCAGGGTATGGATCAGACAGCCGTCAACGGCGCCCAGGTACCCATACTCTCATCCAACGAATGTGAAGGTTTGACGAGAGTCTAACGATGATGCCAGGAATTCTACTACGAGACTTTTGGTCTCCAGGACGACCCGGCAATGCAAGGACTAGTCAACGGCGCACCCTACCTCTGCTCCGCCCTCGTCGGGTGCTGGAGCTCCCCCGTCTTGAATAAGTACACCGGCCGCCGCGGCACAATCTTCATCTCGTGCTTCGTGTCCGTCGTCACCGGCTTCTGGATGGCTGCCGCAGACAGGTAGGTGGAGCACACACACACTTACACACAAGCCCACCGCCTCCACGATTTGTCTCATCAGGTCGGACTGGTTTCGCTGACACCCCTTTCTTTCTGTAGCTGGTACAACCTCCTCATTGCACGCTTCTTCCTGGGTTTCGCAGTCGGCGCGAAGAGCAGTACGACGCCGGTGTACTCTGCTGAGAGCACGCCCAAAACTATCCGCGGTGCTTTGACGATGATGTGGCAGGTGAGCAAGACCTTGATTTGAGCCTTCAACCTTTTGCGTTCCATGAGTATACGAATGTTATCGAACTGACTTGTGTGCATTTTCCATCCAGATGTGGACGGCCTTTGGTATCGCGCTGGGCTTCATCGTGTCCGTCGCCTTCGCCAAAACGGATTTCCTCGGACCAAACACCCAATGGCGTTGGATGCTGGCCAGTACCTCCGTGCCGCCTCTCGTCGTCATGGTACAGGTAAAGGCTTCATCTTCTTTTCTGTCTCTCGTTCTCTCCCTACACAGAAGCTAATCCGGGCAAATGAAGGTCTACTTTTGCCCAGAAAGTCCGCGGTGGTACATGGAAAAGGGCAAATACCAACAAGCCTTCCAATCGACCCTCCGTCTACGACACCACCCGATCCAGGCGGCCCGGGACATGTACTACGCCCACAAACTCCTCGAAATCGAGACCAAAGCCCGCAGCGGCCGCAACTGGAAAGACTTCTTCACCGTTCGAAGAAACAGGCGCGCCGCGCTGTCTTCGTATTTCGTCATGTTCATGCAACAATTTTGCGTACGTTGAGTCCCCCTGTCCTTCCCCCTCAGCAACCATAAACATCCATCTAACAAACATTTACTCCATATGACAGGGCATCAACGCCATGTGAGCATCCCTTATACCATCCAGCTCTCGGAAGTGAACACAACTGACCTCACCAGGATGTACTACTCCACAAACATCTTCGAAACATCCGGCTTCGACCGCAGCACAGCCCTCCTAACCTCAATGGGAATGGGCCTCATCAACTGGCTCTTCGCCCTCCCAGCCTTCTACACAATCGACACGTTCGGCCGCCGCAACCTCCTCCTCGTAACCTTCCCCCTAATGTCCCTCTGCCTCTTCTTCACAGGCTTCTCCTTCTACATCCCGCAAGACACCACCGCCCGCCTCGCCTGCGTAGCGACGGGAATCTACCTCTTCGCGGCAGTCTACTCTCCCGGTGCTGGCCCCGTTCCGTTCACGTACAGCGCCGAGGCGTTCCCCTTGCACATCCGCGACATTGGCATGTCCTCCGCCACGGCCGTAACATGGGGTTTCAATTTCATTATAAGCTTTACTTGGCCGCAGATGATTGCTTCCTTTGGCGTCACGGGCGCGTTCGTGTGGTATGCCTGCTGGAACCTCGTCGGGTTCGTGGTGGCGTACTTTTTCCTGCCCGAGACCAAGAATTTGACGCTCGAGGAGCTGGATAGCGTTTTTGATGTTAAGAGTCGTGATCACGCTGGGTATTATGCGAGTAAGATGCCGTGGTATGCGAAGAAGTATGTGCTGCACAAGGATGTGGAGCCGTTTCCGGCGTTGTATGAGTTGGATGGGGATGATGAGGATAGGTACCGTGAGGGAGGAGGAGGGCAGAAAGCGAGTGTGCGGCATGACGAGACGGGGGTTGTTACGGGGCAAGCTACTGAGAAGTAGGTTTAGTGGGAATTGGAGCTCGAAGTCGTTGAGCGGAGGTAAAGGGATATTTCGTGTGGAATGCACAAGCCTGAACTAGGTGTGATATCCTGCGTTGGATATTGGACCTGTGAAACTGGACGCAAAGGATTTTGCAGTTAGCAGTTGCGTTCTCATCGGTGGACTTTGATACATCCGCACCCGATGAGTGATCATGTCACATAACTTACAACCAAAGCAAGTTTACACAAGGTCATCGTTGAAGTTCAAGTGATATAACACTGGTAAAAAGCTGTCGCCAAGTGCGTCTTGTACAATGTTACCACTCTTTGTGGTTTCCATAACCTCTACCATGTTCTGATGCTATTCTCATGATGCGTGAAACTCCGTGTTATGCAATTGAGCACCCCAAACCGTCAGTCTGCCATCCGCACAAGACCAAACAATGCTCAATAAGACCTATCCAACATCTGGACATGCTTCATATGCTCCCTGAGTACCCAACTAATCCCAACTCATCCAATTGGATCTGAGTACATCGTCTTCCTCGGTCGATTCCTCGGCCGTTTCTTTCCCCTTTTCCGTCTTCTTTTCCTCGTCCGAGGAGCTCACCCTCCCGTCTACGAGTCAATCCCAAAGTCCTCCCAGCGAGTCGCTCACGGGAACCAGTTCGCGACTGCTCACTTCAAGCACCTCCTTGTCGTTCTTGGGCGTCGTCTCCAGCTCATTCGCAGGCCCGTGCAGCCAGTTCCCCTCATACGGATCCGGGTCGGACATTGTGTCTTCTGTGTGCGACTCTACATCACCGTCAGAAGAGTGGAGGTCTGATGTCTCCATCTCATCCGTGTGCGACGTTGCCTCGCCCCTCGATGGAGGCGCTGCGAGCTCGAATTCTTTCGCTGGTGTCATGTCAAGGTTACTCGGTTTTCGAACGTGGAACAGAGAGGATTCCGACTTTCGTGAGCGGTGCAGTGGTGGTGTTACGGGCTTCCCAAAGTTGAACTCGGTGGCCTCAAGTTGCGCCGGGTTTATCGGGCTCGTCATCGGTCCTCTAACCAGCGAAACATTGTAATGGCTCTTTGCCGCCCTCTTGAGACGTGGTTTGCGAACAATGACAGGCGAGGAGCCGCCGTGGCCATGCCTCGCCCGCATCTCTAAGCGTTCCTC